AATGAAATAAAGAACCACTGGCATTCTCATCTGAAGAAGCTTACTAAGCGAAATCCGACTACATCTGATGCGAAAGACAACTCTTGTTGCCGAAGTGAAGTCACTCAGAATTCTGAAGGTGGAACTGAAAACACCCTTATTGATACTCCGGCCAACATGATCTTAGAGAGTGCATCCATGTCTTCAGCAATATCTTCAACTGCTGAATCGTCGTCCTCCGGCTCCGGCTTAAATGTTATTGCGCCCGGTGTAGAAGATAGTACTTATCTTCCTTCTACATATATATATGAAACTCATAGCAGTGGGGATTTCTGGAGCGAGTTTTGTTGCAGACAACATCTACGACCACAGCCAAGATGATTATCCATCACCTTGGAACCATCGCCTTTTGCGACATGTACTATGATGCTCAGGCTGCTGATTTACTCTTTCAGTCGATCCGAGGATGGCCATAAACTTGCTTTTTCAGATTTTGGATGCTATAGGTAGCACTTAGCATAGATTATATACCTAGTTGAAGTTGTCTTTTCGTTTGTTTTTCAGTTGTATAACTGAGAGTATAATGGAATGGTCCTTTGATTTGGTTTCAAATCAATGATCTTCTACAGTTTGCTGTTTTCTGTTTCTTCAGTTAATCTATTGCATGTTTCGAGCCCCCACCCCAACACTCACACACAATAATAATCCTAATAAACAGATGGAGGCTTAATTTAGGGTTTTAGAAAGAAAACTTGGAAACGAAATAGGGGGTCAATGCATTGAATAAATGGAAAGATGCAAAGTGATTAAAGAAAAGGAAATGTACAAAGAACAACTTAAATATTAAATAAGGGGATTGAAGACTGAATTTAGGGTTGGTTTAAAAAAACTGTATGTTCCCACAGGCAGTTCAAATTATTCTAAATTCTCAAATGTGAATTGTTTCACTTTTGGTTGTAACAGTAACAGGTTGGATGAGTTAGTACATACATACATTGTATTTTCATTCATAAATGCATTGCATAATCAATGACTTAAGAGGAAAGGGATAGATACGTAATGGTTCATGAATACTAAACATGGTCAGAATTAGTTAAGACGTTTAAATATTTAATTTCAAAGTTAATCTTGATTTAATAAATATTTAAATTATTATTAGACAAAAAATGTAGGTCAAGGCCTTCATAGTTTCGTCACGTATAATAAACATAATAATACTAACGAAAAATTTCAAAAATGGACACCAAAATTTTAGGGTATTTGTATTTAGTCATCGGATTTTTAAAACTTAAACAATACTGACATGGCACTTTAGATTCATCTTCTTCCACGAAAACCCCAAGTTTCTCAGATTAATTGATAGACACCAATATCCTTTTTGCTTTCACCATCATCGTTTAAGTTCTTTTGATTGTTGTCACCTCTAAACAAAATGTCCTCCATAATTAAGATCCCACGACCATTAAACCATTCATCACCATCATTTACCTGAGTTCTAAACACCATAATCATGAGCCACAACTACAATCCACCACCAAACCAATCCTGAACCACTTTCATCAATTCAGTCACCATTCATAGTCAACCATCAATGTCAGTCGTAATAAACAACAATAAGCAGAAGAAAAGAAAAAGAAAACTGCTTATCTAGGTCTTGGCGAGTTGTTTGGCAAGAAAATTAACATAGTTCAATTTTCAAGCTTTTAATTTTGAATAGGATTTGAGGAGATTAAAAGATTTTCTGAAGAGTTTGAACCGAGGGAAAGAAATAGAAGAATGATAGAGGAGTAGTTTAGTGATCTTTTCGACTAGATAAACTATCAGACATGGGCAGAATCGACGGCAAAAGGGTGAGCGAAGGCTACCAATTTTAGGTATGAGAAACTTAGAATTTTTTTGAGAATATGATTTTAACGTGTCATGTCAATATTTTTTAACGACAAATGATGACAATTTGAATAATAAAAGAGGATTAAAAGTCCAATAATTATATTACAAGTTTTAAAAATTGAATAACTAAAATACAAATATCGTAAAAATTTGGTGACCATTTATATTGTTTATTCTATTATTTATTACCATTTGTTCGAACTTTGAAGAATTAATTATTAAAAATTTATTGATTGAGGGATAAGTCTACAACAAATGCCGCACATTGATATGCACTAATATAAAATAGAGTACATTTTATAATTGGTCATTAAACTGTCTTAAAATGATTTTTTTTGTAATTGATTTTTTAAAAATTACAAAATAAATATTAAACTTTATATTTTGTATAAAAAGCAAGCATCGACCCTTAAATATTGTTAAAGAGGTGACATGTCATGCTAAATTATTAAAAAAATATCTCATTGGGCCCCTCAATCATAACTAAAATTTTATTTTTGATATTTTTTAATATTTTAAACAATAATTTTGAAAAAAAACATTTTTAAAATATATGGATTTCATAATTTATTTTTTAAATTATAATTTTACGAAATCTTTGAAATTTTATCATATTATTAAGATGTGTGTATATATTATTAAAATGTATGTATTGATGCGAATAACTTATTATGATTTCTAACTTTATTAAAATGTGTGAATGCAGTAGAGACGAACAATTATTTATAAAACATTATAAGCATTTTTTGATCATGATGTGTTTCATAGTAGTATTGCCACTATTATTCTTCTGCGAAAACTAAGAGACAAGCACGGTAACACCCAACAGATCAACAAAATCCAACCTACAATTCAAAGCGATGAAGTGATTCGTCTATGTCGATACCTTGAAAAAACAAAGGCAAAGGAAAACAAAAATTCCCTAACTCCCCAATTCATGGAACAGACAACTTCTTCTCTTATTGGTCTCTGGTTGTAGCATCCGACATTTCTCATTTTCCATTCTTTTTCCCTTTTTGTTCTGTTATCCGAAAGAAAACTAGCTCTCATCATCAACAGTGTTTGATTTTCCGAATAATCACTGATTTTTCCATTTTCACTTTCTGAACATGAAAATTGCTGGTCGAGCATATTGACTGCCGTGTTGCAGCTGTAAACCATCGAATCATCTCTCTCCTTCCCTGCCGCTTCCATCCAATTGTCTATTGTAGCATTCTAACAGGTTTTCCTGCACGAGAATTCATTACCACTAATAGCAAAACATTAATAAACAAACCACATTGTACTGCAATGTCACCTTATGTATGTATAAACAGCCGGAAATTGCCTTGTGATAGCTGGGGAACAGCGAGGGAAATAGTTCATTAGAGGCAGACAGAAGCGCCGATGCTGCAATTATCGATGGCTTGAACTCTAAAACCCTTTATATCCGATTGAGCTTTGAAGATGATTTCAACAGCTCGTGCACTGAGAGCTTGCATTAACGAAGGGTCTTTGAGGTTGAAAAACGAAATGAAGAATACGAAAGAGAAAGGAGTTATCGAACGCATCAGCCATTTTAATGCTCCCAAGATTACATATTCCATTCTCTCTACCGTTTGTGCATCAACATGAAACCCCCATCGGCCTATACGAATTTTCCACAACCACACGTATAAAATTCGTCTTGGCAACGTTAAAACATCCAAAGTTTAAGAATTTTACCTGAACGTCGGTGAGAGAGAACTCGGTTTCGTCATCTTGGCAGCTAAAGAGACACAACAGACTGCAACAAGTCGTAAAACCCATGGCTTAGGTTGCTGCGGTATTGCTTGGCTTGATAAGAACCGGTCGAGATAATTGACGGCAAGATACGATATAAAAGGGTCGAATTTGCAAGCAAACTGAAAAAGAAAGCAAACTTATACCACAAAACGAAATGAACACACGAATTAGACCCCTATTTTAGTACTTACCTGTGAGATTGAACAATAGCTTCTCGTCTGAAACAAATATCAGCATCTGTAGCTTTGAGTGTAGGCAAATCATCAGATTCAGCTAGGAAGAGGAAAGGGGAGGAGTGAGTGAAGTGGGTTAATGGGTTTTGAATATTGAACTCCATGTGGCGTTGACGGAGAGCAGCGTGCTATTATTTCTTATGCTGTTTTGTATGGACATCTCTTCTTTTCTCGCTTTTAAGATTCGTGTCTTTTCTTATTAGCAAGTAATCAGAGCAGATAAGGTTCGTGTCTGTTCGTATTCAATCCTAATTATATTATCTTTCTGATAAAAACTTATTTAATGTAGTTTTTAGTTTTTATATTTCCTATACTTTACTTTTATCGATTGTTGTTGTCCATGATATTAAATATATAAATATTTCTTATATATTAAATATTTAAATTATGAATTAAATTATCTACTACAAAATTATATTAGGAGAATCATAAGTTAAATTTTAAATAAATTGAAAAAAAATGAAATAACTGAATAATAGGTGTTATATTTGAGCTTGGGTTCAAAATTTTCTAAATGGAGTTATTTAAATTTTAAATTTAATTTTTAATTTTTAAATAAGTTCTAATTTTTTTAATTAAAATTTTAAATTCGAGTTCATTTTACTGCTTTTACTTTAGCATACTGAAAAGTCATATTATTTTTCCTAAAAAATATATAATTAAATGAAGAAAAAGAGCTTCTTAAACTGTCGTGTTCCTTAATGTTCAAAACATGTTTGTCTCTTCCCTTGTTCTGTTTCAACTTTCAATCTGAACGTCTCTACCTGGAGCTAGAGTGCGAACACATGCCTAAAAGTCTACAGACCTAACTATCAAATATGAATAAAGTATACAAATGATCACTCGATTATAATATACTTCTTTGTCAAGTCCTCAAATTATTAAAAGTTATTAAATGGTCACACGACTATTCATATATTTTAAGCTCATAATTTTTTGTTAAAAATTAGTGATTGTCTAAGCTGAACATTAAACTGCTAACTGGGATATGATAAAATCATATTAATGATGTCTATTAGCTCCGTTGTTGCTTTTAAGCACTGACTCGACGATATATTGTTTCAAGCACTGACTCAACGACATAATGTAAATAGAGAGTTGATCCACAAAATACAACTCAAACGGTTCTAAAATTATATTTTATCATATCTTAATCAATAGGTTAACGTCCAGGTCAGACTTCTGCCAAATTTTTAATGAAAAAAGATAAGCTTGAAACATATGAATAATCGGTTGGATGATTATTTTGTAACTTTTAATGGTTGAGACTTAACAAAGTAGTGTCCTAGGGGGTCATTTTATAACTTTTAGTAGTCGGAAGACTCAACACAACAACGCCATATAGTTGGAGGATCATTTGTATATTTTACCCATAAAATATAGTGTTTTCTTAATAATAAGGCAAACTACATGTTTAGTACCCCAACTATCACTTTTGTTCTGGATTGGTTACTCAACTATATTTTTTTCAAAATCATGCTTAACGTTTAGTTTTGGTTTCATTTTGGTCACCCATATTAAAAAATCAATAGTGATGTTGATGGGTCACCATAAGATAATGCTATATCATCATTGAAAAAAATGCCCCATCATCAGTTTTATTAATTTTTTAAAGACGAGTAACCAAAATAAACTAAAATATAACAATATATATGATTTTTTTTTAAAAATAGTTGAGTGACCAAAACAAAACAAAAGTAATGCTTAGAGTACTAAACTTGTAGTTTACCCTAATAATAATAAATAAAACAGCGATAGAAGGTTTGAGCCAGAATCTCACATGCACCTACTTTTGAAATTATGTACTGTTCCCATGACAATTCTCCAACTCTCGAGTTATCTCATTTAAGTCACCACTTTACAATACGGAAACCGCTTGACAAATACCAATTCATTTGAAGTAGACTCATTCGTTACTCCTTAGTGCTTCAAATCCACATGCAGCCGCAGCGGACTTTCTTTTGTTTACTATAAAGTTTGGGAATAAGGACAAAGATTTATTAATTATGCATGGATCAACTATAATAGATTTAGTTTCATGTGCTGTTGCTTTCAAATTAATGACAAGTGGTGGTGTAAAAAGTTGAGGGTACAAGGCAATACTTATCCATGTAAATTGGTGTGCTAATTATTTGATAAGTCGGCCACAATTGTATGGATAATTAGCCTTCAAATCTTAACAATTGGTGACAATTCAATTAATCACGTTGGTTTATGCGGTTGTAATAAATGTGATTTAATAGTTTAGTTCATTATTTTAATATGATGTTTACCTAATAAAGTTCCAGTTTGTTGGGCCTGCTTCAACTTCAAGGTTGCTGGTTTTTCCTTTTCCTTTTATCTTCTTCGTCCTTGATGACAAAACACAACGGATTCTTTCTCGAGATCGCTGCAGGAAAATGTCTAAAGAAACGTCAAACAAGCTCATTTTCTTTTCTTTTTACTTTTGGAATGCCCTATTTTTTTTATTGGAAGCTTAAAACGATAGTAATGTGTGTGTGGAGAAGGGACAAGAAAGAGACACACACACACATTCAAATGCAGTGACACGATGAGTGCACGTTTCACGCCATGCCATCATGCAAAACAACATCATCATTCAAAACAGCATCATCATTCCCCGTCTCTTTGGGTCATTTCATTCCACGTATTCTCAGTTTATAATTTATTATCTCAGCTTGTGGTCCATTTTTCGACATGGTATTTCTGATAAAATCAAAAACCTACTTGCACCAGTTTATATCATTCAACCATGTTTCTTGGGAACATGATGTTGCTAGCATAATGAGTTAGTGAGCATCAATGATCACGCTCTAACATTGCTCGAGCTCCAGGGTATGCTGCATGGTGTGCATGGAGAAGATTCAAGAAGCTTGTAGTTAAGCTCATAGTTGATGGTGTATGCTGGGTTGCAGACAATCAGAACCATAGGTTGTTAGGCTGTTGTTACACGGTTATATTTGTCAAAGTCTATTAGGAAGTTTGCTTCTTGGTTCAGCAACCAAGTGCTATATAAACCATGTAATTCTTCATTGGTTTGTCAATGAAAATGCAGTAATTGTTTTGATATAATGGCACCTTTCTCACATGGTATCATTCGCCGATGATCCTGCGGCCATCTTTATTCCGCTTGCATTTGTTGTTATTTTCTTTCTAAACACCGATCAGTCAACGAATTCTCAACCACCGTCTGTCGCTATCCACCGTACCTGATCTAAGAGTTGATTTTGTTACGAGGAAATCACTGGGCTTGATTGATTAATCTGATGCCTCAACGCCAATGTTTCTTCCATTTCAATTCAACAATGGTCAATTCATACTCTGTATGCTATCTTGAACTCATTCCCTTCTTAATGGATGCATGCAAACTTCATTGGGCTGTCATTGTTCTTCAACTGATGTTCACTGGTCTCGGTTTACACCAAATGAGTCTAAGTTTACAATGTTCCTTATTATCTGTTGTGTATGGACCTGAGTTTACTAATGAGGTTTGGTATACTTTTTCAATTTATCGAAGGTTCTCAATCTTGTTTGCTCCGCTTGTGGCAAACCATGCCGATCCAAAACAAAAAGCGATTTGCATACAAAACGAACAGGGCATACCGAGTTTGTAGATAAGACTTTGGAGGCAGCAAAACCAATCAGCTTGGAGGTCCCAAAGGTAGCAATGGACTCAGAAGAGGCTGTTGATGTAGGTAGCACCAGCCGGTCTGAAGAGATGGTTGTGCCTAGGGATGTAAATGAGACGAGATAGATTGCAAGCTACTCGAGATCGACTCGATCTTGGCTCGATAAATACTTGGATCAAATAGACTCGACTCGAGCTCGAACTCGACTCGAGTTCTTAACGAGCCGAAACGAGCTACTCGATACTCGACTCGAAAAGCTCGTGAGTAGCTCGAAAAAAATGTTATATTATAATTTTAGATTTTTTAAAATTACATTATTAAAAATACATTATTGATGAATAAATATTCTTGAATTGAAAATGGTTAAAAATTATTTTTGAATAAATTTTCTTATATTTATTTTAAATTAATAAAAAAATTATTTATCTAATGACAAATATTTAATATATTTCTAATGATAATATTTGTAATAACTAATTTTTAAAATTTTTGTTATATTTTGAGGTTTTGAGTTCAAATATCATAAATATCAAGAGTTTGAACATTTAATATCAATATACTATATTGTACTTACCTCATAACTAATTTTTTATTTGATAATAAATATAATATAATAAAAAATATGATTCAATTTAAATATTAATAATTTAAAAAAATATCAAAACAAGTATACTCTCGCTCCTTTCACTAAGCCATCTCATTCCTTGTAATTATGTGATAAGGTTTAGGGTTTAGAGTTTAGGGTTTGCAGTTTATGTAATATGATTTAAGATTTAGGGTTAGGGTTTAGGGTTTATGTGAAATGATTTAATGTTTAGAGTTTAGGGTTTATATATTAGGGTTTAGGGTTTATATGATAGGATTTAAAGTTTAGAATTTAGGGTTTATGTGTTAAGGGTTAAGGGTTTAGGGTTTAAGTTATACACATGAAGGTAACATACAAATTATGCAAAATGATGTTATGTGACTCCTAAATAAATCATTCGCATACTTATACATAAACATATCAACATGCAAAATAAATATACACAACTAATTAAAGAAAACAATCCTAAACAAGGACTAAAATAAATATACAAAGTTGGAATCAAACCAATGACTTAAATACAAAATACGTATAAACTATAGGGTTTTATATGCAATTGATCCTATTCGGTTTAAGCTAAAATATTTCCTTGACTAGGTAACGAAAGAAGAAAATCCCATTGATTAAAAAATGAAACATATGTAACATCATACCACATCAGATTACTTAAAAATTGAGGTTTAGAAGGGAGCAATTTCTTTTACTTTCTGTGACTTATAGGAAGACTTGACACATAAAAATAAAGCAAAGTGGCCCACTATTTTATTAAAAAGAAAGGAGTGAACAAGGTGACATAGATACAATAAGCAATTTACAATGCCATAGAGTTTCAAAAGTCGAGAACAAGTCCTAGATGACTGAGAAAATCATAATCATAGATGATAATGAAAACCCAATAACAGTGAGTTTCTACTGTTAGGAAAATAAGTCATACCCACTCATTTTACTTCACAGGCTTTAGTCACCAGCTTTTTCCATCAGTGGAGAAATTTGATTGCTTTGGGTATAACCATGTCACCGCCAGCGACACATACTCTGTTTCTGAGTTTAAAACAGTTCATATAGCAGAGCATTTAATAATGAACTCTCTTATCGCTTTTGAATTGTAGGCCCTCCATACCCTTGAGGGCAGCTTCGTAGTTCTTGGCATGAGAGGTGTTTCTCCTAGATGATGCCCGCCTGGGGTCTCCATGGCTAGCATCAGTTGTACGAGAACATTGGGGGTCAACCTCACTACCACCAAAGCTTCACGGCTGCTATAAGCTACAGCATGCCTTGAAGAGGATCCACCTTTCTGCCCCATACTTGGTGCAAGTAAAATTCAAATTAGAACTCAAAGAGAAGGAATCAAATGTGATATAACATTGGTACTATCAAATGTAAATAGGACTAATTCATAGGAGTGTGTGTATGTAGATGCATCCTCAATGAAAATGAAGTAAGACAGTAACTGGAATGCTAGACTGTGCTCGATCCATGAGATAATCATAAAAATAAAAATACCATAGTGTCTTTGGCAACTGCATGACCATTTACAACTAGATTTTTCTGCTTCACCTGACTTCTAGAATTCAAGGGAGTGTGTGTGTGTAGATGCATCCTCAGTGAAAAGGAAGTAAGACAGTTACTGGAATGCTAGACTGTATTCGATCCATGAGCATAATCATAAAAATAAAAATACCATAGTGTCCTTAGCAACTGCATGATCATTTGCAACTGGATTTTTCTGCTTCGCCTGACTTCCAGAATTCAAGGGTCCTGATGATATCCGCCGAGAGGAATACCAGAACATAAACTATACATGAGAATCCTAATAAAATGATTAAACAAATCATTCCATTTTCACTTGTCAAAATGCAGCAACTTCAAATCATAAATCACAAGTATTTCTTCTCTGTTATGAAATGATTCTTGCTCAGATAAATTTTGTTTTAACTCTCACTCAACGTATTTCAATGCAAAACCCGAAACAAAAAATCCAGTGAAAGAGTTGAAAGTTGAACCAGAAACAATGGTGGAGAGCTCTGTGTTGATCTTGAACTGAATCAGGTAATAGACCGTAATGTTGGGGATTTATCAGGTGGAGAGCTAAAGAGATTTGCTATTGTTGTTGTTTCCATACAGAATGCTGAAATATATATGTTTGAAATACACTGTCCTATGTGAGTTGATATCCCACATCGGTGGTTCTTGGAGAATAAGGGGTAAGTCGAATGTATAAAAGGGGATGGGTTTTACCAAAAAAATATTAACTCATCCTCGAGCTTAAGTCGAGCTCACAATCGAGCTTGAATTGAGCTTGAATCGAGCTCATAATCGAGTTTCAACTGACTTTGAGTCTCGAGCTTCAGTCGAGCTCTTGAATTTTTTTTACTTCGCGCCTTTTCGAGTTCGAGTCGAGCTTGAAAATTTTAGGCTCACGAGTTTTTGAGTCGAGTCGAGCTTATGTTTAAAGTTTTCGAGTTCGAGTCGAGCTTGGCAATATTCGAGCTAGACTCGGCTCGTTTATACCCCTAGTTGTGCCAAAGGTTGACAAAAAACTGCTTGAAGAATTGGAAGCGATGGGTTTCCATACCGTACAAGCAATACATGCTCTCCACTTTTCTGGTAACACAAGTCTTGAGGCTGCCGTGAACTGGGTAGTTAAGCATGAAGCTGATCCAAACATAGATGAGATGCCCAAGGTATTTGTCAATAAAAATACTGAGGCACCTAAACCTTCTCTTACACCAGAACAGATGAAGGTCAAAGCACAAGAGCTAAGGCAGCGAGCTCGGAAAAAGAAAGAAATGAAGGTGAATAAGAAGAACGAAAGAAAACATCGCACTTCCGATTCAAATTAGTTGTAATGTATCACACTTTCGTTTCGGGTGTTCATCTTTCATCAAGAAGGTTGAATGTTAAAAATTAGTTGTAATTATTTTTAGAGCTTGTTGTAATAGTGTGTCAAGGTCAGAAGAACAAAAGAAGAAGAAGAAGAGGGAATGCTAGCATAATGAGTTAGTGAGCATCATGATCTGCTCTAACATTGCTCGAGCTCCAGGGTATGCTGCATGGTGTGCATGGAGATTCAAGAAGCTTGTAGTTAAGCTCATAGTTGATGGTGTATGCTGGGTTGCAGACAATCAGAACCATAGGTTGTTAGGCTGTTGTTACACGGTTATATTTGTGAAGTCTGTTAGGAAGTTTGCTTTTTGGTTTAGCAACCAAGTGCTATATAAACCATGTAATTTTCATTGGTTTGTCAATGAAAATGCAGTAATTGTTTTGATATAATGGCACATTTCTCACAATGTTGCCGCTGTCAATCCTCAGTCCCTGCAATTCATGAAGCAAAAGACTGGCTTACTGTTTGAGGTTTCACAATTACTGCATTTTTATTTTTACTTTATGTTACTGAAATTAGTCAAGGATTTCAAGTTATGAAAAGTCTAATTTAAGCTGATAGTGTCAAGTGGCGTCAGTACCCCTTCAGAAGGTGCCTTCTTCACTTCCTGCAAGACTGGAATATAACTTTGTTGCACTCAAAACGACCACGATCAATTAGCACGAATGGAATAGAAGCTAGGGGTAAGACGAGTTGCAATATGAATACCCTTCATTAGCGGTGGAGGCTGGTAACCAGTCTCACATCACAAATGAAAATATGTTAAAATTGTCCGGGGTCTTGGAAAACCTCAACAACTAATCTCGCCATCAACAATGAAAACATTATACTAGAATTGGCGGGGCTTGGGAACCCTCGATATTCGTGCTCTTCGACATTTTATTGCTGCAAAAGGATCCCATGTTATTTTTTTTGCCAAACACGACTTTGTTATGGTTGGAAGAAGAAACGACGAGGAGGGAAGAGATTGGGAATGGGAATGGACGAGAGAGAGAGGATTTGGGGATGGAGGCTCGAGGTTAGGGATTAAAAAATATGAATTGGAAATTAAAATGGAAGAGGGAGATGATTATGTTACCTGATGAGAGGAGCAGGCTAGAAGCACAATGGAGCGGCCTAGATAGGTTGGCCCAAATGAAGGCTAAAAAGGGAAATGATACAAAAGCAAATTTGTTAGCAAAAAATGACAGCTGGTAGGAATTAGATTCTCAGTACTATTTTTGTAACTAAATAAAATACCTGTTGTAGTCATCTTTTGCTCATGAATTTAATGACTGAGAAATCATTTCTGTAATCTCCATTCTTCTTCTTCTAAAATCCCAACTTCTTCGATAGTTTCTTCTTCTTATTTCCCAATCCACAACAAATTGGTATCGAGAGCTTCAGTTCTGGCAAGTAAATCACGAGCATGACAAAGAAAAAATAGAGTATGGAGGTAGATTTAGCTGGGTTACAGAAACATATGGAAGATTTGACAACGTTGGTGAAAAAGGGTAACGATGATTCTAATCCACCTAAATGGTGGGAAGCCCAAGAGAACATAATTACTACAATGGAGACTAGAATGGCTACCAACCAAGGATATGTGGAAAAACTCTTGAAGATTTTAACTGGCAGAGATGGAGAACAAGAGCAGTCTGAAGGTGATCAGGTAAACACTCCTGATAACTCTAAAGATGGGGAGAAAAATCCTGTTTTGGTGACTATAGTAAAAGATAAATCAAGATTCACTTATAAAACTGATGAACCGGGAATATTGAAAGACAAGCCTGATGCTTGTTTAGCCCTTAAGAATAGTTCTAGGCCTGAGAATCAAGTGGGTGAAAACAGTAACAATAGACCTATTATAGGAATGAAAGCTGAAAACAGGGGACCAGGGAGTTCTTTTATCAGTTCGGGGTCAATGTGGCATAGACCTAAAATTGATTTACCATTTTTTTGATGGGATTAATCCTAGGGGTGGCTTCAAAAATGTATGAAATACTTTTCCATTTGTGGTGTTCCTCTTGAGCAGAGAGTAGAGGTAGCTACTATGTATTTAACAGGCAATGCTGAAATATGGTTTGATGGGTATATTATGCAAAAACACCATGTTAATTGGCATGAATTTGAGGTTGATCTTTGTCACAGATTCAGTGATAAATCATTTTCTGATATTGTAGAGGAGTTTACTAAACTGACTCAGAAAGGGTCTGTGGAGGATTATCAAGAGAAATTTGAGGAGTTACAACCTCATATGTTACTGCAGAATCCTAATTTAACCGAGGAATTTTTTGTGTCACTTTTTAACAATGTTATTAAAACCAGACCGGACCGGCCGGTTCGACCGATTGAACCGTGAACCGGTGGCCTGTCAGGTCCGATTAACTCTTAAAACTGGATTAGCACAGAACCGGTAAAGAACAGGAAAAACCGACTGAAAACCGGGAAAACCGGGGTGAACCGGCTGAAAACCGGGGTGAACCGGCTGAAAATCGGGAAAACCGGCTGAAAACCGGGAAAACTGGGGTGAACCGGCTGAAAACCGGAAAAACCGGTTTGAATCGCTGGTTCACTTTTTTTCTTTAAAAAAACAATTAAACCAAACGACGTTGTTTGTTCAGCGAGCCGAGTCAAATTCGAGTATTGCTGAGCTCGACTCGAACTCGAAAACTTTAAAAGTAAGGTCAACTCGTCTCAAAAACTCACGAGCTAAAAATTATCAACTCGAAATATAATATTAAAACTTGAAATCGAATAGGCTCGAACTCAAAAAAAAAATTAGAAGTTTGATTAAAGCCTAAAATTTGAGCTCAATTGAAGCCTAAAATTTGAGCTCAATTGAAAACGAAAGAATAGTTCGCTTTGTGCTCACCAAAAGGATCTATGATTTTGAATGTCAAATTACCTCTATTATTTATAGAAGTAAGTTGGGATGCTCTTCTATGTTTCTTAGCCATGTGGGATTGTTTTGTTCTCATATTTTTACTCTTTAAACTTTTGGGATACTCTTCTATGTTTCTTAACCATGTGGGATTGTTTTTTTAAAACAATTAAACCAAATGACATCATTTGTTATGATTTTTTTAAACCCCAATTTTATTTTTTCGATTATAGTTATATAATTATATTTATTATTTAATATGTTTTACCTTAAATATTATGTTGTAGTTGATTTGAATCATTTTGTTTCACTTGATTTTATGGTTTTTCATTTATACATGTTATGACTTGTGATATTTTTATACCTTTTAATATTGTAAACTTAAAAAAAGTGTTACATATAATATTGCTTTGAATATTATGTAAAATTAAAAAAAATATTATTTTATATAAAATTCGGCTCAACCGCGGTTGAACCCGGTTGAACCAGTGAACCAGTACCTTCATCGGTTCAATGTCCGGTCTGGTTTTGAAAACATTGCTTTTTATTAGTGGACTCAGGGATGATATTAAGCATAGGGTCAAGGCTTTGGATCCTAAGAATTTGCCTGAAGCATGTAAGCAAGCTAAACTCTATGAATTGTCTGTGGAATTTGAGAACAGAAGGTTGAGGCCCTCTTTTAAACCCCCACCCTACCCAAACCCCATTACTGTATCTAAATCAGCTTCATTACCAATGAACACAAAACCTACAGCAACATCAAATCCTAAGCAGAATCTTATTGAGTACATAATGCAGAATAACCTTTGTTTTAAATGTAGAGAAAAATTCTTTCCAGGTCATCAATGCAAAAACAGACAGCTAAACATGATTACTGGAGAAGTTGACACTCCCTCAGTAGAAATTTTTTCTACAGACTCAGATCAGTCCCCACAAGCAGAGGAAGAAACACTGGAAATATCTATGAATGCCATTACTG